AGACACCACAGACACAAACCTCATTCAGTTCCTCCCAGCTAAACAACATTGTATCCAGGTTCCACGGACAACAACTGGCACAGCCTAAGGGGACAACCAACTCAGCATTAAGATTCCTTCGGAACCCCACCAAACCAGCCACCTTTGACTCTTGGTTCTTTGTCAGTTTTCATGTTTTACAAGCCCAGCCCTGCTCCCCCCCTACCCTCTCCTCTGTGTGTGTGTGTGTGTGTGTGTGTGTGTGTGTGTGTGTGTGTGTGTGTGTGTGTGTGTGTGTCTGTGTGTGTGCATGTGTGTGTGTAGTAAGTTTCCACCACACCACCCCCTATTCCACCCAGAGGAGTAGATTCGAGTTGAGCCAGCCCAACAACTAAAGAATTCACCTCTTTAGCAAGCAACATGAATCATAATTGAACCATTTTGAATTGTGTTTCCTTGGGGTTGCTTTGGGGCAACAGCTCCTCTTTTACTATGCCTCGCACGTACAAGGCTGCCCACATTGATTGTGGTTGAGCAGGAGCTGCTCACATCCCCGTGTGCCTTAACTGCCCACCCGGTCTGGCACAAGCAACAAAGATGCTCAACCACCAGCCCCAGCCTTGGTACTTCTAAGCTGCATACAAGCGGGCCATGCTTCTACATACTGACCTGAGGGGACCGGTTCAATTCACTCGGCAGCAGGGTTGCACCCCCCAACGGTTGACGGGCCTCAACTGGTCGGCTGCCAACCCGCTGGCCGATCGGCTGGTCGGCACCTACCGGTCAGAGGTCCTCGGCACCCCGCAAAAATAAATAAATAAATAAATATTTTTTTGGGTCCAGAGCCCCTAATAATAGCACCAACACCCCCATACCGGCCCCCAATATCTTAATTAAAAACATTCATTATTCAATAGATTCAAGCATTATTTCTTTTCTATTATTGACAATGAATGTTCTCTAATTTTCTTTTCAATTTTCGATTATTTTTAAATTGTATTATTTGACAATTAAATCCGAATATAATAATATACAATAAGATATGTAATATAAAAAAATATACAATAAGATATGTAATATAAAAAAATATATAGATAGACAATAATACCCATACACCCCCCCAACACCCTCAAACTGCCCCCGACACCATCACCCCTATACCCCCCCTATACTCCCACCCCAACACCCCCATACCCCCTCCCATCCCCAAAAGTTTCTCAGCGGATTTGGACTGTACTCAGCAAGCGCAGGACAGCCCCCAACTCGGATTTGAAAAAAAAAACAGTGGTTGGTTGTTTTCTGACTGGTCAGCAGACCGCCAACCGGTCGGCCCTACTGGTCGGCTGCAATACGGTCGGCGGTCAGGGTCGGCGGTCGGCAGGGATGCAACCCTGCTCGGCAGCATAAAGATTAGATTCAACAAATGGTGCTTGAAAATTGCAATATCAATACAAGGGAAAGATCCACATGCTCACAACTTTCTGAGCCAGAAAAAGAGTGGGTAAGAGGTGCTTGCCTTGTCCAACCCTGGCGTATTCCGCAAAAAGCGGGCTATTGCAGCTGGCTCATTGGGTATGATTTTATTATTGACAAGATGCCGAATCCCCTTCAACGGTTTCAAATTGAACTGGTAACAGAGGGAGTACAAGACAGAACCATGACAACAGAAGAACAGTGGTCAGTAGAACCATCCAGAATACAGGACCAACAAGCAAACCTGAAAAAGAAACATATAATGCAGAGGCAACAATTTCGGCGAAAGGCGCTGACGGCCATAACGGATAAATTTAGGACCTTTATGTGAGAGATGTACACATCGCTTTTGCTCTTTTACTCGGCCAACCTTTCAGCTACTCTTAGGCCTCAGAAAATCATGCAACAGCTGCAGCCACTCACTCAGTCACATATTTGCCATCGCCACCATTTTAACCCTACCCAACACAGCATCATCCAATTCATATCTCCTCATTCTGGAAAGAGTCTGAAGGACTACAGCTACAGCAGGGCCAGGTATCTTAAGTTTTCTTCTAACTTCTTACATAATAGGCAACTCCAGATTCTACGTTCATTTATGCATTTCTCCTGATTCAAAATTATGGAGTGTCACACAGTTTAAACTCTAGAGCTGTTCACACGGCATAGCCGTTCCCGGCGTTGCGGGTCGCAGGAGTCGACTTTCTTTCCAGTCGTTTGGAACCACTGTGTTTGGGGTTCAAGAGCTGCTTTTTTTTTTGTTTGTTTGATTTGCGGTCATCTTTTTAGGTTTCGCCTCTTTGAGTGGTTTCGTTTCCTGCGGCCTTTTCCTTTTGTTTGTTTATTTGTGCTGCTACAGGTCACGGGCGCAAATTGCTTTTCTTTTTATTGCACGGTCCTCGTTCCTGCTTCTTTCTTTCGTCCATTTCTGCAGCGTTGTGGTTTTGCTGTCACCCAGCCCGCACATAGACATCACGCCAGTTTCTGTTCCGCAAGTTGTGTCTGAGTTGAGTGACCAGTGTTGTTCAAACACACCAGGCTCGTGTGGATGACCAGTGGACATGTCACTGTTAGTCGACAGGTGATGAGCTCGCATTGTGATGGAATCCGGGCATGCAACGACAATGTAGTCTTCCTACCGGCCTTCTGAACACCGATCCTACTTCCCTAGCTCCTACGAGTCTAGCCTATCTACATGCCTGCAAACCGTGTCCATGTGTCAATCGACAGATGCAGCTTGAAGACTTTGGTGCCCAGCCAAAGCAGTGGTCCTGGGCAATGGGCTGTGGGAAGTGGAAGTCACAGCCTGCCTTCATCAACACCAGGTATGTGAATTGTTCCCTCTGCATCCCTTCCCCCTCCTTGTCCCAAGGATCACCGCACCTCCACCATCCGGCTAGGGCGCGCACTAACTGGCTATGGCAGGTGCCCACCCCCTTCCTCCTCACTGCCACTGCATAAGCTTCCTGCATGGAAAATGGCTGGCTGCGCTCTCCAGCAGTGTTGCTGCTCAGCCTTAATGCCCAAATGTGCTGGAATGGACCGCTTGCTTGCTTTTGTGTTGCTCACGAGGCTGGAGAGGCCACGAAACCCCGTCCAAGTACCCTGTGCCCTGGGCGCTTCCGGAAGACCGTGCAGGCCTGGCCTCTGTAACCAACTCGTGGGCTCGGCCTACTGTTTCCACCTCGTAACCACCCGGGCCCCTTTCTTGAGTCCATCCTTCACTAGGGCTAGCTTGCATTTTCCTAGCCCGCCTTCACGTAGGGCGGGAAGAGCCTTTTCCTCCACAACAGCACGGCCAAGGACCGAAGTCCTCGCAGTAGTTTCGCAGCCGACAGCCAATGCCACTGGCTGACAATTCTGCAGCCTATGAGTGAGGTGGACCCATAGGTGTTGAGCCGACTACTCACTAGAGGGTCATCTGGTGAATTCTTTTTCAAATCTGAATTTACAGCTGTACTTCTCCTTCTGAGTAGAGCCAAATCCGTTTAAAACTTCGGGGCGGTCTCACTTTTTTTTCTTTGGTTTTTATTTTGGGTACTGACTGACAGCCAACCGGTCGGCTGGTTGGTCAATGCCCAATCAAGGGGCAATCAAGGGGCAGTGAGTCACCAACCATCGGTGGAACTGGTGCACTTGTGACCAGGTGCATGGAGAAGTGGAACTGGTGCTACTACTCTGCTGCCAAGGATCAAACGGGCAGAAGTACCAGAGCATGGACAAGTGGAACTGGTGCACTTGTGACCAGGCGCCTAGACCCACCTGCAGACATCACCCAGGCAAACCAGACAGTGAGAGAAATACTATTAAAAACAAATTCCACGATAAAAACTCATGGCGGGGAATTTCTGTGCCAATAAACAGGTCTCGCCTTAGGGGGTATGTACTACGAAGTGCAGCTAGTAACCAAGCCGCTCAAACACCTATTTGAAGAGATTGGCGGTTAACCCAAAAAACGAACCATGAGGGTCCCCATCAACCACTTGAGGCTGCTGCTACATGCAAGCGGAAATTCGTACCAAGCAGGCATATATCAACACATCCTTACAAGACTGTAGGAGACTACATGAACACATCATGCAGTACTTCAATCGTGTAGTGCAGGTGTAATGCACACTAAGCTGCTGATTGTTTTGTTCTGGACTGCTCCACATGAGAAGCAGTATATCACTATGGCAAGTCTGTGCAAGTATTGTTAAGGTCAATATTGTTGCAGCTTCATTAAAAGCTCGTATACTAACAGGGCCACAAATGCAGTTCGTCTTCAAAGTGTGATACCCCTCACCTACATGTTTCGTAAATATCTAGCATTCTCGCATCACAATCAATTCCCTCAAACATCCAAAAGAGAAAACAGGAAACTGATTAATGATCACCGCACAACCGCTGAAGTATTACGGACCCCATACAGCAATGAGTGTGCACCATACTCACAGATTCAACCTGGGTAATCCATCCAGGCAAAGAGAAATGCCCTGGAAAAAAAATGAGTGGATTGTCCAAGTCGAAGACTTGTGTGCCTCACAAAAGGGATAACCCTCACAGTAATTCTAACAGATACAGAGAGCTCACGTTAACCAGGTGCTGAAGTGAGCTTGCATCACACCTGGCAACAGTGCACGAGGCATAGCCCACACATGAACTTGGCGTGCGTAGCAAGAGCCCAAGCAGCCAAAAAAAACAGCATACAAGACAGATAAAAATGTTGGCTCACCTCACTCACACCCGCCTCCAAGCTTGACTTGTGCGCCTTTGCTTTCCCAAACCTGTCAGCCTGAGTCTCCCCTTCTGATTCAGATATTTTGGTAATGTCCCCATCCTTCTCGCTCCAGTCAATACTGCTATTCCTGGACCCTAGGTCCGATGCATGCCCATTTGCCATAACTGGGGATATGATTGCATTGTCCGGATTCTGTGAGGATGCTTCCCCTTTGCTGCTATCCTCTCCCTTCTTCGCCCACTGTGCCAAGGATTTCATTGTTGTAACCAGACACTGTACAATTGTTTGCAGCAGAGATGCACAAAGAAGATTGTCAAGAGAAACAGTGACCCAACCCTCCGCCGTTCATATGTAGAAACTGAGGCAAGACTGTCACGAAAAGATCAGCGGGTCATATTAACCGTTTGGACATATTACAGTGTAACAGTCACGCGGTACCACCTTCTGACCTTGTTCATGCTCCTAAGGCCCTGAGATCTGCACCACTTTCACCCTGATTGATTAGCAAACGAGGCACCTTCTGGCCTACCCAGCACTTAAAAGCACAACTACCATTTAGAACTAACCATTTGATTGCAGATCCACCAACCACAAGCTTTCCTTTGCATGCAGAGGTTGACCAGTTTTCTGCAGGAGGTGGTGGTTAAAGGGCTGGACATGTACTTTGAAGTTTGCACTGATCTAATACACTCGCAAACACAGACGAAACCATTTGAAGTAATGTGCTGCAATATGCACAAAAGGCTTCCATCTTCCAGTTCGGAATATTTTTGGATTTGTGTCTGTCAGGATGGGGCACTGGCCGTTTCACTTTCTTTTTTTTTTCCGTTTTCTTTGTTTGAATTTGGACCATTTCTCAATTTATGCGTGTCATCCTTGCGCAGGGGCCATGCCAATCTTCTCTGTATCGTTCGCCGTTTCTCTTTCTTCTTTTCTTTTATTTCAATTACGTCTGGCATTTTCGGGATCTTTATTTACGTGTCATCTTCTCTGTATCACTCCAATTTTAACAAATGTCCTGAAAGGCACACAGGCCGTGTTGATCTGGGCTAGCTCCTGGGACTCTTGGTGAAACCAGGCCGATAAACCACATGCTTTCGTTTTGCTATGCAGACCAATCACTCTGCAAATGGGAACACAACTCACATTCAGGCTGGTACACAAACCACAGTGTGTTGCGTTAACTGTCCTGAGCAGCGTGCCAACTGGTCAGTCAGCCATCCACTTCCACACGGTCAAGAGGCCGGGTTAGGCAGGTGGGCAGAGGGGGGGAGTATGAATGTGGGTTCGCTTGTGGTAAGAGATGCAGAGTTCGATAAACGAATGTAGGCAAACAGACGACTAAATAAATCAACTTTTGCCTTATTATCTGTCTAGCACCAATCCACAACCGACCCCTTCCCTCCCTGCACTCCACCCCCCTCCACCTCCACTCCCACCTCACCCAACAACTGCAACAGAAACACTTTGTGCACTTCTGGCATGCATCCTCTGGGGCTATCCATCCTCTGAATCAACCCTTGCAGCTCGTTGTGCCAAATCAGTCCGCAAGGAGTAGTATCATCAGTTCACGACCATGTAACAGTGTGCCAAAGGAGACCAGCATCTGACTGCCACATATGCACAAAATCACCGAGTTTGGTAATAAAATTTTATAGCAATCCCAGATCAGGAAATGCGAAAGCCGGCTGCACATAGAATCCACACTGACGTACCTGCAATGCACTCCCTTTCAGTGCTTGGATCTGCACAGCTACAGGTGATTCAGGATCTACACTTATCCTTGTTTGCGCCAGCCGAGAAAGTGAATTAACCTACACAGCAGACATCAGATAGGAAAACGTTTCAATCACCATCCAACATGTCAAAGCCTAGCAAGATTGTCCACTACAGAATAATCTTGGAGGATTTCAACTTTTCATCATGGTTTCTGTTTTCCTTCCTCCATCAGGACCGAACTATTCAAGACTGACGTCACATACTTACCACTGACCTAGTCCACATACTTACCACTGACCTAGTACATTGGATAATATCACGTTCAACACTTCCTAACCCCCCACATCGACCACAATGAAGAATTCACCATGTAGATTACTCATTGATCAATTGTAGGCTATATAGCAGGATTATCAATTTATCATACATTGACATCCAAAAAACGTCTTATAAAGACCTCAAAGGGGCAGATAGAAACTGAGGCAGAGATAGCAACAGACAGAAAAGACTATAAAATTTATAAATCCATAAAGTGCACCCTGCTGGCTGACTGAGGAAACCTGTTATCGGAAAAGATACAAAAGGAGATGACAATCACTCTTGCATCCAAGTGTCATCGACCAGTACACGCGTGCGAACTTGGAAGGGACTCTGCCATAGCTGATAAAATAAAAAAAAGTATTCTTCATTACGATCCAGACTTCAACAATCAATGAAGCACTGGAAAATTCAGTGCGGTCGCATCGCAATCCAGATGGAGTCCTAAAATTTTAGTGATGCCACATTCTCACTGTCTACTCCACTCTGATTATGCAGCTTCATAAGCACTCCATTCTGTGCTCTATGCATTGCATGTCAATGCGTTTCACTATGCAGCACAGTTCACAGTATCAGGTACACCAACTGGATCATTGGGATGTCACCACACAAACCATACAACTATAACTGCCACTTTACCTCCTTTTCATCTCAGGTACACCTCCCTTTCCAGTTCCACTGATATAGCGTGCTTTCAGTTTGGATGTGCACATGTGAAAAGGTTCAAACATATCCTCTCCCCCCCTCCCCCCACCGCCTCCCCCTTCTTTCTTCATCCCAAATTGTCCTGTCCACTTCTCGGGCTCGATTCCTGGTTGTTCGTCTGGAATGAAGTCTCTATCTCGAAATCACATTGGATTTTCTTAACTTATGAAATGCAGCCGTGGAGGATTCCACACACAAGCCTGCGGCTAGCGATGCCTTTCGGTTTTACTCAATTATTACCCCTCAGGAGAGAGGTCATCTGCACTTCCATGGCCTCAAACCACCAGTCTCCCTGTTGACATTCCAAGGTTCGGCAATACACCTGCCGGGTGCAGGAAAGGTTTCCCTAGCGGCCGCTGGAGGCCGGTGACAGTTCGCAGACGTACAAGTGCACCAACTTCGTCAAGTTCTCACGCTCAGAATTGTTAGCAAAAAAAAATTATGAAAACAAGTACAGGCCGTTGATTGAGTCCTCATGTTTTTGGAAAAAATATTAGAAAAGTCAAAAACACATTCTGGACGGCGAAACATATGCTGGTGGTAGACGTTCGCACACTTTTGCTCCCCGCTGCTGCCGGTAGGGCCAAAGCTTTTGCTCCCCTGCTGCTACTGCCGGAGTGGTAAATTTGCAGAAAGGGGACAGGTGGTTTAAGCTGGAAAAATGGAGTCCAGAAGACATGCCCAGTCGAGGGAGAAAAAAAAAACAAAAAAACAAAGACATGCCCAGCCATCTGGAAATAGCTGCAGAGAGGAAGCCAGAATAGGCGCTTTGTTCACCCTCTCCACTCTAGTTACTGAAGATTTGGGGGAAAACCTCGAGGAAACACAGAAGCACCAGCCTTACATTTACTTGCAGCAGCAAGAGTTTTCCACGACCAGGGATCTCAACTTTGAGTCTGGTTGTCATTACTTGTTACCAGATGGACTAACAGCTTTTAGACTTTTCTGGTTGAACAGTTCATAGACATGTACCCTTCAGGTACCATGCAGGGGTTAACAGTTTCACTTACCATTTTCTCAAACAAGTTGGTGGCATCTAAATCACAATCGTAATTGACGAAGACATCTGCCAAAGCCTGCGAGTTCATAGCGATTGTATCCAACATCCTATAGAATAAACACGGAGGATCACAACAAACAAATACACTGAAAAGTCAGTGTGATAATGATGGATGGAGCAAACTTTCCAAAACTTTCCATAATGATGGATGGAGCAGACACCTCTCGTAATAACAGAAACTTCTCCTGCTAAAACAAAGCACGGGTATGGAAATGAACCCAACCGGGGCATTTTGGATCCCTTTGGCGGCTGACGTGATCAGGCACAAACCGTTGCACCTCATCAGCAACTGGGCTTCAAGAACCAGAAGCAAGGAATCACAACAAATGCCGAGTGATCGGCCAGGATCCTCAAATACAGAATTCCCGTGCTAGAGCCCACAAGATAGACAGTTAAAGGCAGAGAGACTATGGAATCGAAACTACACACAGATCACAGGATGACAGCGGTGCAAGAGCAAGAAAAGACGAACGAGTCACCAACCTACGCTCAACCTCCCTTGACAATCGCTTTCTCAGCTACCTTTACTTTGGCTTTCTTTTAGGTACCACTTCTATTTGTTCTTGCAGCTTCCAGTCGCACACTTTTGAGCATGGCATGTCGAGGCCAGAACAGCATATCGAGCATGTAATAAGGGAATGGGGGATGAGTGCAAGACAATGCGTCGCAGTTTTTGCGGGTGTGGCTGATAGTGACCATCCCCTCTTTAGTGTTCGGATCAGAGATTATGTTGTGTGCATGCTAACCGAACTATTGCAACATTTTAATACTTCAATTTCTGAGAGAAGTGCAAGGTCCACCACATCTGCGCACGTCAGTGTGGAAGTGTGTGTAACAAACCCTTTTCCACCCAGAAACAAACTGCTTGACCTTAGTTTCTTCTACATGCAAACTGTCACCATAACAAACCGTTTTCCACCCAGATGAGTAGACCCAGAATTTAAACAAACAGTTTGACCTTGAATCTTCTAAGGCAAACATCGTGAAGAACACAAAGTGACAAAACCCGTGATACTGCCATGTCATCATGCAATTCTGTCCTTGCCGTTATATTGCCTTTAACGTATGCTTATGCAGCTCGTACTTTATCGTCCTTGCTTTTTTGTCTTCTGGCTGCTCCCTTTTTACTGTGCCTCCCACATACATGGCTTGCCGCGTTGTGTGTGTGTTGTCGTGTTCGCATAACTCCACAGAAAGAGCATCAGCGTGCCAGACTGTTTCATCGGACTTTCATCAACTCATCAAGGGGTTGAACCCCGACAGTCTGCCGAGAATGCATTCGACTGATGAATAACGACTCACCTCATCGACCAGAGCCAGAGATTCCCCTACGAAAAGTGGTCGACTTTACTCACACCAACCCTGCAATCCTAGCAAACCCCTGAAAAGAATGGCAGTAAGTGTGAGAAACCCACAACTCTACAGGCATAAAACCCACAACTCTACACACCCACTCCGCCATGGATATCAATTGGCAAGACCACTAGTACGGTCCCAACCCAAGCCGCGTCAATTCACCTGAACGGAGCTTAGCAAGGCCTTGTTATGTTCGCTATACACAACTCCACAAAAAGAGCATGACCGTGCCACACTGAGTGTGTTGTCATGTTCGCCACGTGTTGTGTGTGCATGTCCAATACCTGTACACACAAAAAGATAGTGTGCCTACCGGCTCAAGCAACTGAGAGAAGCACCACAGACTTCCCAATGGCATCTTCTTTTCACTGACATAAAAAGCCGCAACAACAAGAAGTGAGTACCGCAAAGAGACGACTCAAAAGAGGGATAGCAAGGTAAAAGGTCCAAGTAAACAAACCTGAGAACTACAGTCCGCTGTAGAGCAGAAGCATCATTGCTGTCGACATATCGGAGAACAAGCAACGGGAAGAAAACACCGATTTCTGCCTGTTGAGAGCATTAACACACCAAATACAAGCATTTTGAACACCCACACAAACATCTTAGCTCCACATCATCTGCATAGAAGCAATATGTTTGCTTCGCTTACAAAGTAAAGGGTTTCTGGATGCTCGTAATCACAGATACAGCCAAGAAGACTGGGTAAACACTGCTCACTGGACAACGATCTTTTCGGCTTAGGAAGATTCTCATAATCACTGCCCAGCCGAGCCCGGGCGTGACACCCAACCGGGCCTGGATGCTCGTAATCACAGCCAAAAAGACTGGGTAAACACTGCCCAGCCGGGCCCGGGCGTGACAACCAGGGGGGGCTTACGCCCGGCGTACCCGGGCATGCAAAATGTGTTTAAAGAGGGGTGCCTTAGTTGGTTATGTTATTTTCGTTTTCATCTCTGATTCTGTGGGGAATTCTAATGTGACCCTCAGCCAAAGGTCGTTTGTATTGCAATTCTACACAACACTTTTTTTCGGGAATTTTTCGCTTTTCTTTATTTCATGTTTTTTTGCGCTCGGGCTGCCCGGAACCCTGCCCTGGAGTCGTGCCCGGACAAGCACCTGGGTGTGTACCCAGCCATAAGTTGGCTGCCCGGGCACCCGGAAAAACAGCCTAGCTTTTCGGACCATTTCGGACCCTTCACAAGCTCACAAACTGAGGATCAATTTGACTTTTTTTTCCTGACGAACTTCTGGCCTTCGGCTGAGATTGACCCAAGAGCAGAAAAGGTTTCTCACTGTAACCTTAAGATCAGACAGTCAAATAAACTGTGACCTTCTCAACGATTTGACTTTTTTTCCCTGACGAACTTCTGGCCTTCGGCTGAGATTGACCCAAGAGKRGAAAAGGTTTCTCACTGTAACCTTAAGATCAGACAGTCAAATAAACTGTGACCTTCTCAAGGTTGACCCTTACAGCTAAAACCGCCTCATCAGAATAGCACAGGATCATGTCAGGATGAATAGAGCTGTAGTAGTGAAGACAACGTGTATGGCCTTACAGCCCACTGGACAATGTCTACTTACATGATTGAGAGTCAACAACTGTTATCTTTGGCTGTAAATTCAAGGTAGGGCGAACGCCCATGGGTAGAGATCCACACACGCACACATGGACGAATGCACACACAACCACCCTCCCCCTCCCCCTCCCCCTCCCCCTCCCAATGCACACCCACAGCCATGGCATAGCATCGTTATAATATTGATTGGGGTAAGCGCAGACCTTAAGACTCGCCCTGAAGCGAAGAAGCAGCACAGAAAAAATGTTTGCTGCAAACTGTACAGACGAACAACAGGCCAAAGAGAACAGAGAAGTGATCACCATCACGAACAAAGAGAATGTTACCAGCTGAGTTGAAGGGTGTTCACGAATGAGACGAAATCACAGATACACAGAATACTGTGTTGAACAAAATTGGCGCTGAATGCCCACCTCAAATTCCATACTATTCTTTCACCTTTTACTAAAGAATACCGTGGGGTGAGCACATTTATCAAAGCTGAAAAGTAGTCTCACATGTCCTCACCATGTTACCTCGGCCTTATTACAGGACTGTTCAACAGCTGGTCAGCTACTACAGGATGAAAAGAGGCATTGACAAATTATTATGGCCGACTTTGGCAGGTGTTGTAAAAGACTACAACACTACTTGAACACTTTCACTGCCAACATAATTAACCATCCACAATTCCCAACACTGCCCTCAGTAGCAAACTTCAATAATAAAGCCACGGACGACGAGAACACACGCCCCCAGCATGAGTTTCACAGACGAACCGCACAACCATATTCAAATGCACAGAATCTAGAACAACTGAAGCAAGCGGCACGTAATTCGCATTCGCAAGAAAGCAAGCAGAATGTTGTATGAGAGTTACAATTTACCTGAAAAATAGCGGGTACAGGAGACAGACAAGCTCTGATAAGTGACGCTGATAGATGGTGTTTCACACTGTCTATGAATGCAAAGTTCCGGGTAAACGACGGCCCAACGTTCTCCAACACTCCCTGAAGAAAGACCAACAAAGCAGTGGCATTCACCAAGCAAGGTAAGGAACATTGAGGTCTACATTAAACAGTAGCTCCATTCACATAGATGCACTTTCCTGTTCCCTCACATTCTTCCCACCCTCAACACCTCGTTTACTCGAGTAATTGCACACCTGCGATCCAAACAATCAAATTACTTAACCAGTATCCAAACAATCAAATTACTTAACCAAGTGCTAACCTGTAACTGATTCCCACCCTCTATAGCTCATTCGGTCCAGTATTTGCACACCTGCTGCCAAAACAAACAATCAACTACCTTAACCAAGTGTTAATCCGTAATGCAAGTTGAAACATATGAATTAAAAACTGCTACCTTCTTCACCCGAATACAACGTACGGTCATTATTGCTGTATTTAGACGGAAAGGTACCCCAAATACGGCCATAATGACTGTACAACGTAATAGGGTGAAGAAGGTAGGTGCCAGGTGAACACGATACCAGAACATAACAGCGATGCCTGGAAATTGGCCAAGACTGGCCACAAGCTCCAGACTTCCCAGCTGTTGGAACAAGGAAAAACATCCAAAAGTGATCTGAATGGTCCTCCGTCAAATCCTCGAATACCACAAATCATTTCCAAGTGCTTCCGTGAACCCCCTTGCAGCACAGTCCATACAACTAACCTGATGCCTTCAAACCAGGCGGCATCCCGCCCCATTACCCCAGATCCTCTTACAAATTTTGGCAAAATCCGGACAAAATATTCTACTGTACCTGCTTGTTCCTGCTAAAGAATTCAAATGTTTCTCCCCGACACCCAACACACCTCTAATGCACTCGGCTGTTTAGACACTGCGTACTTCAGCATAAGCTACAACCACCCAGAATCTCTACTGTGTTCGGTGTGATTGCATTCCTGATCGCCCAGCCAAAACAGATACACCCCTTTGGAATCATGCAGAGGTACCTTTCAGGTTGATGGGGGGCATGTCTTTCTTCCTTCTTACTTGCCAGCTTTGATACCTGAGCAACAAGAACCTCATTCCCCTCATTTTAAATTCCAGGTTATGGGTTTATAAATTATAACTCAATGTTCATGAGATGTCTGGTTATATCAATCATCCTCAAATAATGGTGTACGCCTGTTGACTTCCATTACAGAACATAGTTTTATGGCTGTCCAATTGCCTCCATGATCTCTCCACCACCCAAAGGCCGAAAATATCACTGTCAAATCCTATTAATATCGATGATGAACATTCAAAAAGGTACATCAGAAGCTTATCAATGTAGCCACGCCGGCTCGAACTACGTGAAACAAAAAGTCAAACACATACCTGCAAAAACTCTAACGATAGGAGCTTGGTCCGAAGCATGAGATCATCTGTACCCTCCTTGTTGGACATCTGATAGTTGACAAAACAGTGGTAACATAAAAGAATATTTAATCACACTCCCACTCTCACTCACATTAAATAATGAATGAAACCACTGCTCTGCTTCCCAAGAAACAGGGGGGGGGGGGGGGGGGGGAGAGAGAGAGAGAGAGAGAGAGAGAGAGAGAGAAGTTAGAAGGAGAAAAGTTGTGGATTCACTGACTGGGGGGGGGGGAATGCAGCAAGCCAACACCTGCACTGAGAACTGTTGTATTTTGTCACATGCCGGGATGCTGCAGACGAGCAATTAAAAACCTCCTCAACTATCTTTCCACAGCTGAGACTGGTATCACAATCACAGGGTATGCACAGGTCAGACGTAAGCTCTGTCTACTGCAGGTGCACAATCACACATTCATTTTAATGATTTTAGAGTAGACAATGTCTGATGTGCTGTGCATGGCAATTCGTGATAAAACTTTTAATTAGTTCAAACTTCAAATTAATTACAAGAACATTAACTCAATTGACATCGACATTGACATTGACATAATGAGGGTGTTCCTTCCATTTGAAAAGATTCCCCAAATACCTATGAAAAAAAGACTCGTTGAAAATGTTAAATATTTCACTAAATCCATTATCGGATATTTGTAATTATCCCCATTAAAAATAGGAAAAAAACTTTAAAAAGCAATTTGCAATAGAATTTGTGTTCCTCTCCCCATGCTCTCTCTCTCTCTCTCTCTCTCTCTCTCTCTCTCTCTCTCTCTCTCTCTCTCTCTCTCT